GTAATCAGATTTGAGCCATCTTTTTTTGTTTGATAGCTCTCATTGAGCTCTTCAAAATAAAAAAAAAATCGTTCAAATTGGACTGGTAGATTGTGAAATATTTGCAAAAAACGTAATTTTTAAGCTTTGTTTAGTACCTGGGGGTACAGGGTCAAACCCCCGATTTTTGCAAGATACCTAGGGTACTGTGGCCCGCTATATACAATATATGTTTACTGTATAACCAGGTAAAATTATTTGCCGAATGGATGTATATTGCAGGAATTAAGGTTGCTTGCCGAAACCTAAGGGTTTAGGCAAGATGGCATTTCGTTGAAAAGCGAAATTCTGCCGAAACTATATTAAAGTTATATTAAAAAACTGGCGAAACTTTGGAGAAAGGCGAAACTGCCGAAACTTATTATAAATGCTGAAACTGCCAAAACTCTGCTGAAACTATAATAAATCTATAGTAAAATTTTGACGAAACTAATCGTAGGATTTTGAAGAGGTTTAGACAAGCAACCTTAGCAGGAATTATTAAAGTTTTTCAATATATAATTTTTATTATAATTATTTTTTCGCACACTGTAATATTAAATACAGATGGTATGATTTTATTTACAGTTTTTCTTATTCTAAATATCATCATCTTTAAAATTATTAAATATTTTATTATCAAACTTTTTTAGTAATTTGTATTTTTTTCTTAATTATTTACTTTTTGTAGTAGATTTACAAATTTTTTTTATTTTTAATATTAATCAATAAATAGAAAGATTACTTTTTAAGATTTATTGCAATTTAAGAATTTTTGGCTTAAATTATGTAATTTTTGTTTTTTTATTTTTTTATTTTTTTTTTGTAAAGATGTGATCATATTTATTTATAATAATGTTAAAGTAATACAATATATTTGCAAAAGTAAAATAAAATAAAGTATTCTAAATTAATTTAAACATTATTAATATACTGCTCCTTCTAAAGGAAAAGACTGATCTATCATCTTGAGACCAAAGGTAACTACTCATCATGATAAACATTTTATGTCAAAACCATATTTTTCTTTCTAACTAATGTTAGCTACTGACACATAAATACTATCAGATGTAGAATGATAAGATTTTTCCAAGATAAATTCTATATAAAAAAAAAGAAATTGTTATACTAATCATATTCTAAGAGCAAGCTAACAGTAAACTCTTAATTATTTACCAATTGAATTATTTACAATTATTACATTTATTACATTTAAATTGACGTTTAACTTCTATACGATTATGTAATTTTTGTAATTTTAAATTTCTTTATAATAATCAAATTTAATATATAATTAATAAAAATATCTGATTTTAATTTTATATATTTAATATTAATAATTATTTAACTAGAAAAAAACTCTATTATATAAAAGATAATAACCTGATTTATTATTTAATAAAGAATTTATTTAAAATAATTGATTTTTTGGTTATTTCTATTTTTTTGAAGTTATATAATAAAATGTGATTAACTTTAAACTATGGAAAATGATTGGTAAATAATCAGTATAATGTCATTTTTATATATTAAATTTAGAAAAGTGAAAAATCACTTTAATGAGAAATAAATTTTTTTATTAAATAATATATTTACAATATCTATAATTAAAATAAAATTTTGAATAACTTTAAAACAAGTTATAAATTATATTTTCAAAGTAAATATAGTATATAGCCTTTATCTTTATTAATAATATTTGAATTTACAATTAAAATAAAATAAAAGAAATAATAACAAAAAATAAAAATAAATATGAAAAACTAAATATCTTTTAAAAAATAGTATTATAGTAAATTAAATTAATAAAACTATTAATAACAGTTTACATTAATATTTTTTAAATTATTCTTCTGCAATATGTTTTAATTATAGTAGATGTAATTATACTAATAATTGAATAATTTTTTTTTTTATATGTTAAAGAATTGTTATATATTATTTATATATAGTAATAGAAATACAGCATACTAATTTAAAATAAAACTTCACGCCTTAAGACTACATCTTAAAATTAAATCAAATATCTTTTACTTTATTAAAGTATAATAATACTAAGAATAAAAAAGGAATACGAAATTAATAGTCCTTTAGTAAAAAAATTTTATAGAAAAAAAGGTCTAATTAATTAATAAGAAAATTCATCTATTTATATATAAATTAATAAAAATAAAGTAATATTAAAAAACAAAAAAATAATTATTTATATAGCAAAAAATTCCAGTTACTTGTATTCTTTAAATCCTGTTTATTATTTATTATTTTTTTAATATTTCCTTCAATTTGGTTATTTCCTGGTAAAGTTTTTACTTAAAGATCTTAAAAATCTTCTTTTTTTTCTTATACTTATGGTTGATAGATTCAAAATTGCAATTCTGATTAGAAAAACATCTTTTGTTATTTTTTTTAGTATTTCTATTCATCTACCATCAGGAATTCAAGAAATTTAATGTTCCAAACCATTAACAACATAGTTTAAAAAGATAAAATATTAGTATAATGCATATAATAAATAAAGAAATGATGTTTATTAATAAATAATATACAATACATAAAAATCAGGATATATCAGAATATAATTAATGAAACATCATATTTTGATAATATAAATATCATTGAAATATCAAGATACCAATATGATTATGAAATTTATACGATACGAGTATGATATACAACAACCCGAAATGTAACTTTTATGTAATCTATTTGTTTCAAATATAGATGAGACATCGGTATAGCAAATCATTGACATATCAGACCACTATACATGATATATTATACAGATATCAGGTATATGAAATCTGACTGATACCTCATCATTTGACCAGTGTTACTGTTGGAGATGGTCATATTACTTATGGAAAATAATTTATTGAACATTTAACTAAGGCTATATGGTATATAGACCCACACTTAGAAAAGTTACGCTCAAGAGGATGTCATCTTCCATCATTATTTAACTCTCTTCCAGTGTATCAGCAAAATGGCGTTTATAATGAATATTATCAAAGAATGAAGAAAAAAAAACCACAACTTACACGCCTAGAACTTTTTCAATTAGCTAATTCTATAGAGCTTTCTTTAGCTGAACCTTGGACATCTAAAAACTCTTGGCAAGAAGTTGTATTAAATGTCTTTGAATTCACATCCATGATGAAGAAATATCTTGATCATCTTGAAACTACTAATAATAATATGAGAACCCTTCATGAAAGTGAAAATCCAGCACGTGAACCATCTAATAACTGTAATATTCATCTGATTTCTAAATGTAATTAAGAAATTGATTCAAGATATTGTATATTAGATTTTGATCTTGCAAATAGAGAAGTATTTGATTTCGTTGATCTTAATCTCTATATATCAAATGATCCTATAAAGAAACATAATTTTATTCGTGATATTCAGTTATCTGTTCTTACGGGATTATACAGGTAAGATTCTTGTTTTATATTTGAAAATTTTAAAAGCATGCAATTACGCATTAACGCACATGATTACAAAAGCATTTTAATCTATAAAATTATTTATTTAGATATCCTTATGGTAATTATCTTGGAACACTTAATTTTATATGGAAAGCATCTAATACTGAAGAAACAAGTGAATATTATGAAACTCTTAAAGCACAGATGATTACTCGTATAAATGACACAATACCAATATATTGTATAAGACAAATGAGGGAAAATATGCTTCAAAAGGCAAGTTGTGAATATTATTTGTATTGTATATATTTTTTTTAATTAAAAATCTCATTAAAGTTTTGTTTATAGTACTCCCTAATTCGCAATCTTTCAAAACTGGTGCTTAGAATGTTGTATCATGATTTAACTGGTGATGCTTCATTATCAAATGATCAAATAAGTAAAGAGATAGAAGAAAGATTACGTCTTATGATGTTATTGGAAAATCCTTCTATAATAATTGATTTTAGGACTAATAATGGATTTCAAGGGTCAAAATTTGATATATTTTGGGATGAACTTGATGGATATTTTAACAAGGTATTAATTTGTATTAATTAAAAATTCTTAATTTCTTATAATAAATTTAAGAGTATTGCTAATCTTAACCAGGAGGATAATTCCCCCCCCCTAAAAATTTAAAAAAAATAAACTTTTTTTATGAAATATATAAAATAAATATAATTGGATATTAATCGCATAAAAATTTGGCAATTCTTGGTTTTAAAAAGAATTTTTATCATGAAAAATACAATTTAACTATAAAAATCAAAATTATGTACTTTTCTCAAAAATTATCTGAACAACTACCTTTTTTAACTTAATAAAACCTTTTCTTCTCATAAATTTACATATAATCTTATTCTTAGATTACTATGCAAGTCAATATTTTAATTAAAAATTGAAATAAAGGGAGAGAGGAGAAAAATTCCCCCAGGTTAAGTTTAGTAATTCTCTAAATTTAATATTTTATTTTTTTTAGCATAATAATACAGTTGTTAATGAACGCTGAACAGATGCTGTTTTATATATTCCATATGCTATATCTATTCGGAAATTGAGAGAAAGAATTATTACTCATTTATTGCCGTTTTCAGAAATGTTGACAATCTGAAATTTTGACCATTTTATACCGAACACACAGAACACACCGTGAACACATACAAAAAATTATGCAAACTTGAAGTATTCATGCATAACTTTATATAAAAACTATTTTTGTCACTTTTTAGATATGAATAAAATTGAAAATATGAAAATTTGTACCGAACACACACCGAACACAAACGAACACACCGAACACACCGAACATTGGCAAATACAAGCAAATACAAGTGAATACATATATGCAAATAATATAATTTTTATACATTTTTTTATGCACACTACCTAAAAATATATTACTAAAGTTTTAATTTTGCTTTTTTTAAAGGAAAATTTGTTTTTTTTTAATTTTAATTGCTGTGTTCGGTGTGTGTTCGGTGTGTTCGATTTATAGAAATGATCGACATTCTAATGTCAACATTTCTGAAAACGGCAATAAATACAAAATATCAAGGCTTACCTCTGCTAAGTGATGTTTCTATTCCATCAGAAGAATGGATAAGATTGAATTTTGCACCATCTAATGCATGTACTACCAAAGCCATGCAGTATACTGGGCATTTTAATGTGAAGTATAAGGTGCAATCCTGATTGTTATGAAAATCCAGTGAAGATGAATATTATTGTCGCACGATATTTAAGTATGAATGCGAATTTAACATCAAATATCAAGATTATGCATGTTTTATCTCGGCAGATGATAAGCACAAAGTGCCTATTAGTGAGGATGTACCAGTATCTACAGGCGTTCGCAATAAAAAGACTTTGGCACCAGCTGAAGGAGAAATTACAGCAGCCGATCACGACTTTACTAAGTTGTCATTAACACCATCTATTACTTTATTCATTAACATTCCAAATGATATATCTGAATCTTTCTATGATGAAAAAGTATATGCCTGCTTTAAAGATGCCATTTTTCAACCAAGTAGTACATTAAGGCATTCAACAGAATTTTTTAACCTGATGAATCGTCAGTATCCAATACAATTTTTACCCTCAATATTGTCACTCTATACTGATGGAGATCCCGATCACAGATGCACCTTTGGATCAGTTCAAGTAGCTTTAATATGTTTATTTTTAGCAGGTAATTTTGATATGTTAATCGCAGTTAGGACAGCTCCACATCATAGTTGGTGTAATCCTGCAGAAAGAATTATGAGCGTGATTAATTATGGACTTCAGGTGTTGCTATAGAAAGAGAAAAAATGCCTGAGGAATTTGAAGACGAATTTGAGGCTTTAAGGACATTAGAAGATATACGCGAAAAAGCAAAAGATAATCCATGCTTAAAGGTGGAATTAGAAAGAACTGCTTCACGAGCGTACAGAACATTTAGTTTGGAAAAATGAAGCATTCTAAACTGAAAATCCTGCATCTGATTTGAAAATTAATGAGATGTTTGAGGTAATACTTTAAAATGATTTATTTTTGTTATTGTTTTATTTTATTCTAATAATTTTATTTACTTAAATTTTGAAGAATATATTGCGAATTGATTCCACATTGACTAAAGATTAAACTACTTAATAACAATTGCTAAAATACAAACCCTTGGTATAATTTATCAAAACTCATTGTCAAGAAAGAGTATACTCATTTCAGGTAATAAAATTGCTTTAATGTAGTAAAATTATTTTAATTCAAATAAATATTCATGTTTTTGTAAATTTTTTTAGATCAAAAAATGTAATCAAACTTTCTGTAAAGTTTGTTATCGAATTAGAATGCCAACAGATATCTTTCAAAACTTACATTTTTTACCTGATCCAATACCATCACGAGGTATTTTTTATATATTAGTTTTTATATAAAATGTTAAATATTATTAAATTGAAGTATTATTAACTTGAATAATTTTTCAAATAGATAATCCAGATCACTACGAAACATTTGCAAATTTATATAGCAAACCCACAACAGAAAAATTTCGTTCTTCTTTAATCAATTTAGAATCTAAAGCTGAATTGGTGCCAAGTAATATTCTCATTTCTGCTAAAATCAGAGAATATATAAAATGTAATTCTTGTAGAAAAATACGATGCCTTTATAGTAATTCCCATTTAATAGAACAACAAAAACAAGATTTAAAATTGGTGTTACAAACTTATACATATACGTGTGGATCACTAATTTTTTCAGATGATCATAATTTGGCTCAAGAGATTTTTGTTAGAGTTCAAATTTCTTGTGATTCCCCTATTGAATTGCTTTATTATTCTTCAAAAAAAATAGGAAATATTCCAATCTGCTATTGGTGTGGTGCAAATAGTGATTTTAAAATTGTGCCTTAAAATCTACAGGAAAAATTCAAGTTAATATATCTATTATGTAATATTTGTAATGAAAGTGGGAAATCATTTTATAAACGGTTGGAAAAGAAAGTTAATAGAAAAAAATAAAAAACAAATCATGTTAACTAGTTGATTTTTTGTAATAGTCTTAGTATGATTAACATTTAATATTTTTTTTCGTTAATAAAATTTCAAGTTTACATGTGACTTTATTATACAAAGTCACGGGATTTAAATTTTTTTTCTTTTTATTCGACCTCCCTCCCTCCTCTAAACTTTCATAAACAGTGTAATGTAAAACAGATAATTAATTTGGTTTAGCCTTATATAGGTTTTTTTTCCTTTATTAATATTAATTATTCTCTTTTTCTTCATTTTATTTTATTATTTTCACCTCCATTTTATTTTATTTTGTCATTTTTTGTAGATAATTCTTTTTACCTTTTAATGGCTTTAAAACTTTGTCTTAATAAATAATAAGTTATTTTAGATTTTTTGTTATTAGAAATTATTTTTTTTTAACTATTTTTTTTTTTTAGTTAGATTTTTCACTTCTTTTTGGATTTATAGTTTTTTGTTTTTTTCTTATTATGCTATACTATTCCTTTCTTTACCATTTTGTCTTTTATCATTTTTTTTATTACTGTTTCATCTCCTATCATTCTTTTTCTATTTTCATTTTATTCCATATATTTTTTTATTTTTATTCAATTCTATATCATTTTTTTTATTATTTGTTTATTCTATATTGCTTTTTTATTATTATTTCATTCTTTTAATCACTATTTCATCTCCTCACCACTATTTTTATTTTTTATTATTTTTTTATATTAATTTCAATTATATATATTTTTAAATATTCATATACAGTAAAATCATTTGAAAATGAATCTTCAACATTAAAAATTACAATATTAAAAAATGGGAGTTTAAAAATCAACTTCAAAATATATCATAATTTGACATATATATTATTTTATTAAAATTTGAATGATATTTAGGAATTAAAGTTTTATCAAAAGTAAGTAGTTTTTAAAACTGAATTAAAAATATTAAATATTTATTATGAAAAACTTTATTTTATCCAAAAAGTATTTGCTAATTTTGGTTTTATATTAGATAATTTGTCAGGTAATTAATATTGGAAAAGTTATACATGCTGCCCAAATTATTTTGGGATGTCATAATTATAATTTGGGATGCCGTAATTAGGACCCCGGATATCTAATATAAAGGTCATAATGGACTTTTGGCCAAAAACACCCCTTTTTGCTGAAACTCAAAAAATCGTTTTTTGTAAATATCTCAGCATCCAGTAATTCAATTTTAATGAACTTTTTTTTATTTTGTAGCCCTCATTTAGCTCTACAATTTAAAAAAAAGTTCATCAAAATTGGACCACTGGATGCCGAGATATTTACAAAAAACGATTTTTTGAGCCCCTGAAAAATGGGCCAATCTGCCGAAAGTGTGACTTATGACCTGTTTTGGAGATATCCGGGGTCCTCCGTAATTCATTCAGTTTATATATAATTTACTATGTAAAGTGCCAAAATAATTTGGGATGCTATAATTGAATTTGGGATTTTACTTATAATTATGGCAGCCCAAAATAATTTGGGTGGCATGTATAGGAAAAGTAATAAAAATATTTTCATTGTCAATTACTTTAAGGTTCCATATATTTTTTTTATATTGTGGGATAAACACTTCCTTTAAATTAGGATAAAATGCCATATCATTTGTCTTATACAAAGCAATATTAGTATTATATTAGTATAATATTAAAAACAAAATAATGATTTTCAATATTTTTCAAGTGATAATTTTATTCAAAATTAATATTTGAGTATTTATAAAACAAAAATCATTACACATAATATTAAACATTGTATATACTTATATGCCAGGAGTTTTCTTTTCAAAATTCCATTCCGGAACTTATTTTTAAAGTTCTCCTACACTTTTCATTTCTTCCCATCCTTCTGCATATTTTTAAGAAGACTAAACTTTCAAAACCTTAGAAAAATTTCAAAAATCCCAAAATTTGATCGCTACTGTGCATTCCTAATTTAGTTAGGCTAATTATTCTAAAAATAACTTTCTAAAATTCGATCTGCACTACCGTCTATTATACTTCTTTTAATCGTATCCTAGTAAATTTCTCATATTACAGCGTTGAATTCGGTCAGTTGAATCTACTAAAAGAGCACGAACTTTTCCAAATTTTGTTTATGTCTTTGAGAATGGCTTGTAATACTATTAATAGAACATGAAGTTGAAAAAAAAACTAGTAAAGTATATATATATATATATTTCATTAAGAATTTATCAGTACGTAAATAAGTTTAGAAATTTTAAAAGATTTAATGTACAAAGATAATTTAATAGCGAGATAATTTATATGTAAAAACGCATAATTATTATATATAACAAATATACTTAGTTGATTATAAAAATATTCGGTCATGTACAAAATTTTAAAAACTTTGTGCCCGCACACTCCGCACATTGATCAATTAATCTATGCTAAAAAAATTTTTTAATCAATTTGGTCGCCCTTGTTTTTAGCACTTATTCCATATAATAGTATATTCGTATATAAAAGAAGGATGTGATACTCGGAAATAATTAAATTTGTGAACTTATTTGTTTATCAATGTGCATCTAAGCACTTGCTCCTGCCCTTTTTATAACTTTGCGAATTTTGAATGAGATGGAAACCAAGATAAATTCTTCCGATCTACTGTAGCAAGACGAATCTAATATTCGCGGTCTTATTATTTCGACGAATAGGAGTCATCTTTTTTACATGATCAAAAATCACATGATTAAAATTCACACGCGATCATATGGGTTAGTTGGGTACGCGCATTGTAAATGACATTTGTTATTTTTTATCCAAAAAGTCAACTGTCTTGGTCTCATGAACTTCAGTTAGCGAATTATTGTCTTAAACCCGAAGACATACAGTAGATACAATTCCGCTATTTACCTATCTGTCCCAACATGAAATTCAAATATTCGAGAAATGTATTACAAAAGTTGAAAGATTATTACTTTATTTCTGGACAGCTTGGAAGCCAGAATATTCTTCATATTGATCACAAATAGGTTGAAAATATCACGCCTAGTTTTGGATGCGAAGTAAGTTCTTGACATGTCAATTATTCAATAAAGATACTAATCATTGGTATAATTCTTAGTTTTTATGCTAATACCTTATTTTTTTTCGTTTCGGGATTCTGAGAGTCTTATTATTTTACACTAAGTCTCTATGAGCTTCGTTCAGGTAGAAATATTCCAACAAAATCTCAGCAGCATTAAAAGTAACTCGTGAGTAATACTCTTTTTTTTCCTTATTTTTCTTAGAATATCGAACTGGGAAGTTCATACTAAACGAACGATGAAAACGAAAACAGGACGAGGCATTCAGTGATGATTATTAAGATTTTGATTATCTAGGGAAAGTCAGTCCGAGGATTGTTGAGTAGAGTGAAGGAAGGTTTATAAATAATTATAAAATCGTTAAAGGATAATGCGTATGAATTTATATTACTCGGAAAATATAAGATAGATTTTAGGATAGAAATGCTACTGAGTCCTGTTGATCAAGATATTCAGGCGAAATAGACCAATATTAGGATTGCAAACATTTCACCTGTTAAGACTACTACTATTTCATATGAATTTTGAGTGGCTACCCAGTTAATTTTCATGATTTATGTTAAACTACTATGGAGTAATATATTTTATGCAACATCACGTAAGGAAATAGCACAACTAATTCGAAGGATCAGACTAATGTAATAATATCTGGAATGATATCAGCATACCATTACGATACTCAAGTCAGTTCAAGAATCCACCAGAATATCAACAAAGAAGCGGGTTTGATCCGGACTTAAGAGTATCGTTATGCTGAAAGGTTTGAAATGTTAAGAATATTAGATATATCAACCAGCTAGGACGTGTGGATTATGAGAGAATACTATATATATATATTTTTATTCTTATTTTGCTAAATAAAATTATTTGTTATCTACAGAAAATTTTTTTTTTTTTTTTCAACTAAAAATTTTTTAATAATACCAAATTTTTTATATTTTTCAATTATTTTCATATTCTCATTATTTGTATCTAAACTACCACCAAAACCCTTAATAACAATAAAAGTAATTGATTTTGATGGTATACGATCTTTCCAACTAATGAAAAATGATTCTAAATCTTTTGAAAGTAAATCAGATTTTACATAATTATATAAATTTAATTCATGAAAATTTTTTGAAGAATTTTTAACAATAATTTCCAACATATCATTTTCTTTTAAATAATTACTACCACACCAAATTTTAATACTTTCTAATTGTTGACAATTAATAAGAATTAATTTTAATGTTTCTAATTCATTTTTCATAAATAAAGTAAATAAAGATTTTAAATTTGGACAAAATATAGCTATAGATAAGTTTAATAAATTATTACATTTATATAAATATAATTCTTTTAAATTATTTCCATTAATTTCTAAAAATGTAATTAAAGATTCAACTTTTGGACAAGCATAATCAAATTTTAAAATTTGTAATTGAGTAAATTTAATATAGTATTGTAATTCATTAAAATCTTTAATAATAGAATCATTATATTCAAAAGATAAATTTTAAAGTTGTTTTAAATTTTTGAATTTTGAAATAAACAATATTGATCTACAATCTTTTCCTTGTATAAATAATTTTGTTATTGTTTTGTTATTAAATATACAATATCAGTCCCATCTGTACATTTATAATAAGGTTGTATTAATGATAAATGTTTCAAACAATTTTGTGAAGAAATTAAATCTTTCAGATCTTTTGAAACATTACATTTAAATATTATATCTAGTGATTGAATATTATGACATATTGGAATTAATTGATTAAAAAGTTCTGTATGATTTGAATTACATTTTAATTCTGAAAGATTCATTAAACAATTTTTTGCTTTAGGAATATTATTAAATGATATAAAATTATTTGGTATATTTAAGGTTGCTTGCCGAAACCTAGGGGTTTAGGCAAGATGGCATTTTGCCGAAAAGCAAAATTCTGCCAAAACTATATTAAAGTTATATTAAAAAACTGGCAAAACTTTGGAGAAAGGCGAAACTGCCGAAACTTATTATAAATGCCAAAACTGCTAAAACTCTGCCGAAACTATAATAAATCTATAGTAAAATTTTGACAAAACTAATCATAGAATTTTGAAGAGGTTTAGACAAGCAACCTTAGGTATATTTATAATATTATTATTATTATTATCATTTAAACAATAATTTAATCTTTTTAAAGAAGAATTTTGATTTATAAATATTTTAATTATTTCTTTTGCTACCAAATAATTTTTATCTTTTAAATTTAATGAAATATTATTGGATTTTTGATTATTAAAAGAAATTTGATAGTTTTTAAGAACATCATTAATTAATGTATAAAGTTCAAGAATTGAAAGAACTTTGCAAAATGATGGATAATTAAAAAATGGAGGTTTTGAAATTGGAATTGAAATAAAAATACCATTTTTAATTAAAAGGTCTTTTGATATATTAGAAAGGCAAGCGATTAAGGTACCAAGAATTTTTAATTGATGTTTATAAGTAATAGAATTTTTAAAATTCCAAATATTCCTCCATAAAATTCTAACTGAAATTTCACTCCAAAAGTAATTAACTAATAAACATGAATATAAAGTGATTTTATCTTCTTCTAAATATTCAAATATTTCATTAAGACAATCAGCATGTAATTGATAAGCCATTTTGATAATAATAATAAAAAAATATATATATATATATACTATATACAGTATATACCGCTGTGAAAAATTCACTTTTTTTAAAGAAAATCATTTGTAACATTCAGAATATTCCTTAACGTATACATCATACAAATAATAACGTGCATATCATTTATTATGAAAATTATTGTTTATGTCTCAATGAAAAAAATATTTCCATTCTTAGTTTTTTTTTTCCTTCTTTTTAAATTTGAATTAAAAAAACAATTAAAATTATGGTCCTGCACATTGTTACAAATTTATCATTTCAAGTATAAAATTTGACCAATCAAGATTCATCATGACAAATTTGACGCTATATTTAATACATTGTAATGATTTGTCATTGTGCAAATCGTCATTTTGAAATGGTATTTACATTTTCTCATTTTTTGTGAAATTTGAATTTTTTTACGTTTCGATGTGTTTTCTGAATGTTTGCAATTTTTAAGACAATGTGGAATGCCAACGATTACTATTATGGTGCACCACATTTATAGTAATGTAACTAGAAAGAAATTTTGTTAAGTCCAGAGCTAAGTCTTACCGTAGAGAAGATTCTTGTGCAATGATGAGAACCAATCAACATTAACTCATTTATATCACAGTTCTAAGCTAAAAAAAAAAGAGCAAAAGAACAACTCATCAACCATCTCATATCTGGAATCTATAATATTACAAAGTTATATGATTTCTAACTAATATTATATGATTATATCGTCCAGGAGTCTTCTGTTAATGATGAGAAGAAGCGTAAGGGGACTACGCGATCAGAATGGCCACAACCAATGAGAAAGTTTTAGAGGAAATTTTAGTATTGCAAAAGTTGGTATATGGATCAGCAATGTGCTTCAAAGTTCAAATCTATTGAACTTCATAAATCGATTAGTTGGATAGATACAGCATCATTCATTAGGGTGATACAAAGCAGATATAAACATTAATATTCCAAACCTTAAGTGTAGTCAAGTTTTACTGCTCATCTTGTAACTAATTGTAGATAGCTACCTTTTTTACCCAGTGCGTTTTATTTTCATCTTTTTCTCTAGATAATTGTTATTTGCTAGCCTTTATTGAGTAGTTTAGTTAGGCCATGCTTTTTACGCTTAGTAAATAACAGGCGGAGTATTTTAAAGTTTTTTATGTTTTTATTGTAAGTCTTTTCTATCGCTATGTAATAAAAAATATTTCTGTATAAGATTAGGATCATAAATGCAAAACATATTCTAAAGAAGCTTTATCAGCGCCATCATTGATGTGTTAAACCGATCTAACTATACTAAGAAATGGAAACCGGTTAAGATTTTATTGTTGTACAGTACATCGTCACGTACAGGACGGACCTTGCGTAGAATTAAATAGTCCTTCGTTACACTTCGAACATGTCGAATATTCGGATATTGATAAATATAATCCCGATTATATTTTTTGCCAAAAATATTGAACTAATTATAGTATTCAGGTAGTTTTTGTAAAAATATTTATATTATATGACGCTCACCAACTTTATTAATTAACAAGATTAGTAATAGTAATATTCAATAATTAATAAAAGAAAAGGATTTCCTTAGATTTCCTTAAACAACAAGGTGTGTATTTTTTTTTATTTTGCAATGATAGGATAACCCCTAAGTTGATGCGTTGGCTTAAGGTAAAGCCGACAAGGGGTATCTCGTGTTACGTAATTTAACCGTGCCACTTATGTAAGATCGGTAATTATCTGGACCGATGATTTAGAGTTTTTACTTTAAATACAAATCATAATAAATAACAAATCATTTTAAATACAAATTATTTTCTTGATTTTTTTTTAAAATGATCACATTGTTATTTTTCGCCACCATTTTCGTTATCGTCATTTATCATGTTCGGAAATATAATAAAATACCAAAAGAAATCGAAAATATGCCATACATTTCTGCATTCCCCTTAATATGGGCATTATTAAGACAAAAACCTCATGATGAAATTCAAGATGTGCTTCACGAATCTTCAAAAGGCCGTGATATTTATTTAGTAAGTCATATTATGCGTATTCCAATTATTCTTTGAAATTTATTACAAATATTTATTATTCCAAAAACTTTAATCTTTTTAGAGTAGAATTGGTCCGGCTATGAATGTAAATATTTCAAGTCCTGAACATGTTAAAGATTTATTAATGGAATCAGGTAAAATATTATGTATATGTATATATATACTTATTTGTTTGATGTTTAATTTATAAAATTATTTTATAGAGGATATTGCACTAAAATTCGAATATGGACCCGGAAATATTCTTTATGACTTTTTTGGAAATGGATTAGTATTTTCTAATGGTGACGTATGTACAAAATATAATATTTTATTATTATTTTTTTGCAGTAGGAATATTACGCGTAATTTCTAAAATTAAAACAATTTCACAATTTTACAAGAAATGGAGAACTTATAGAAAATTAGCAACCCCTGCATTCAACAACGCTTTATCTCCAGAAATTGTGGGTGAAACTGTAATGGATCTTTTTTCTTTCATACAACAAAATTTGAACCGACCAATTGATATATTCGAAGTTATGCAACGTACCACAATTGAAGTATTGGGAAAATTGGCTTTTGGATATAGATTTGGTGTAAATATAAAAATTTATTATCGGGGGTTTTTTTTTTGACTAACATTTATTTATTACAGACATTTTCTAATAAAATAACTTTTGATTTAGTGTTTAGAGTCTGGGGAAACTCCTCATATTATAAACGTTTATAAATATCTTATTTCAACCGTTGAATCTGTTTATAATATTGTATTTCCATGGATTAATAAATTACCGACAGAACATAATAGAAAGTTTCGCCAAACTATTAAAGAATTTGATGGATTCATCTTTGATATTATAGAAGCAAAGAGAAATCAAATTAACAATAAGGAAATTTCTGATAATGATCGTGTTGATTTGTTAACCAGTATGTTAAAATCCAGTGAACAAGAAGGAATTCATGCTGACACAAAACAATTAAGAGATGAGATGGTGACTTTTTTTGTTGCAGGACATGATAGTAAGTTTAAATCAATTCTTATATAATTGGTTCTTGTGTCAATAAGCATAACTAATAATTTTTTTTTTAATTCAATTAGCTACCTCAATGTCATTAAGTACTTCACTTTATTATCTTGCAAAATACCCGGTAATTAGTTCACCAATAATTATATAAAATTATGGCTGGTTTTTGGTCCGCATTATAAGGCTCAATTACCAGACTTAAACTAAAAGAATCTTTTTTGTAAATAGGAAATGCAAGAGAAAGCACGAGCAGAAGTGATAAGGATTCTTGGTGATGAACCAGTCATCCCATCTTCAGTACAATTAAAAGTAATAGCCATTTAAATACATTTTACTTTTCATAATTTAAAAATCTTTAACTAAAATCTATTATACATTTAGGAAATGAAATATATTAACGCAATTATTAAAGAGTCTTTACGAGTATATCCACCAGCGCCAGTAGTAAGTCTTAGATCATTACAAAAACCAATTAAAATTGGCCCTTATATTGTGCCAAAAAATGTTTTATGCTCAGTAAATATTTGGCAAGTTCATTATGACACAAGGTATTGGGAAAATCCCAAACAATATAATCCTGAAAGATTTTTAAATAACGAAAAAAGACATCCATTCTCCTGGATTCCTTTTTCTGCTGGTCCAAGAAATTGGTATGTGACTATTGAAATTATTTAATTATTTAATATGTTATTTTTAAATTAATCCTTTTTCTTATTCCTTTTTTTACAGTATTGGACAAAATTTTTCTATAATGGAACAAAGAGTTATTCTCTCAATGATGTGTTAGTATTTACGTTTTATTATATGGTTGATTTATTAAAAGAAATTAATAAATTACTAATTTATATTTTTATTTAGTGCTAAAGTATAATTGGACTCTTCCTAAAAATAGTATTAATGAAGAAAAATTGTTATTAGATTCTCAATTTTTATTAAGGCCTGTTGATCTAAAACTTGTATTTACCGAAAGAAAATAAAATTATAAATTATCGATAATGTATTAAACCCCTATTACTTAGCCAAATAAAAATCAATACTCAATATCTGATATGTATTGTAAATAAATCTCAAATTTCTCCGGATTACAAAATATCTCTTATTGGTTAGATTTGTTATAACATAATTTAAAACCTGACTTGTTCTTTTGTTCCCGTGCAATTTTAACAATGCCTTTATGTAATTTAAAAAAATCAAAAACTTTTCAAGAGCTTAAGTAGCTCGGAAGTGGTTTATTGAAAATTGCTTGGTTTGAGTATCATTTTCTCTTATTATAATATTAGGTAAATCTCGTATAAATTATAATAATCTTTTAGTCAAGTTTAATTAATGAAGCTAAATGAAAAATCAATATTTTTAGTTGTTAGGAACCGGGTTCGAAACCGGTTCGGTTCTAAAATAGTTCAAAGCAATTGCACATTTTAGAGATCATTTTTTCTATCAATTTTTTAGGTAAAGTTACTTATTGGAGTAAAGTAATTCGACTCATCTGTATTTAATAATTTCAAAAATTGTTCAAATCACTTCCGAACTACTTAACATCCCTAAAAATAAAATGAGTAAAGGGACTAAAAAAAGAATATGATTATTTTAAATAATACTGTTTTGGCGGTAACGTCAAATGGTTGAATATAATAAAACTATGAAAAGAAAAAAAAATGATAAATATAATTTAAAATATAAATAATCTATTTTGTTTCGCTAAAAGTAAAATACATTCGTATCTAACGCAAAAAAAAATGCAACGCATTGATTGATACTTGTGAATTTGTGATATATTTATATATTAAAATGTAAAACTTTAATTTGACTACTTTGGATATTTTTATTTTATTAGCACGAAAATTATGTACTCGCCCAATCAAATATTGCGTACCCTAGAAAAATATCCGATTTTCCTTTTTCCAACTAGTAAAAAATAAGATTCTAAATCTTTTAATTCTGATTCAAATGTTTATGATTTTAGTTCATGAAAATTTTCTTTGGTAATATTTTCCAAAACATTTATTTTTTTTTTTAAATACTTATTAATAAATTGAAATCAAATATGTAATGATTTCAGGTTTGGGCAAATTTATTGTACTATAGTATTTATTATAGCATCCGCGAATCAGTCAGTAAAATCTAATTTCAAATACCGTATCTTAAGAACACTTTTTTTTTTATAAAAAATTACATTAAAATTCTGGATGGTGCTAAATTCGGAAGTCTTTTTAATATTTATATTATATCCTTTTTGAAAGTCAGGTGATTAAAATCGTGTGATGCTTAGAATCGGAAGAATACGATAACTTAATAGCAGAAATTTTTGAGTAATTCAAAATGGTTATTTCAACTTATGGATAGTAGTTTAGCGAAACTTACGCGAAAAAGACTAGCTAATGGTTGTACGATAGAATCGACCAATAGTATAAACGTTCAGAATAATATAAAATAACTACTTATTAGGAAAGATGTTTAAAATATTTTGGGAAGACATGTGATTAGAACATCTTTTGGTTCGATTGATACACATACAAATGGCGTGTTTAAATCCCGTTATACAACAAGTTTATTGCTATAATATTTCCAGGTCCTTACAGCATCCCCCTCTATTGACATTGCCTTCCAAAGAATTTGTAATAATTTTACTTATTAATTTAATTATCCAAAAAAAAAAAGATTAACGTAACCATAAATGTATTCAGAATTTTATAAACCAATTAGCTGGAAATTAACAAGGTTATTTTACTTTTTTAAGAAGGGGATCTAAAAATGAATGAAATTATTGAAGTCATATTACATGTTGCGTAGAAAATACCAAATCACGAATTTGCGATCATTCAGCTCGATAAACCCGATTCAAAATTTAGAAGTAATACATGTAAATTTTTAATTTATTAATTAATTTAATATATTATAATTATTTTCGCTGTAATGTTACATAATGTCTCTTTTTTCTATTTAAAACTTAAATATTACTTTTTTTTCTAATTTAATCATAATCTTTATAAATTTCTTTCACAATAAAGTTTACAGCATCACAATCAGACCAATAACTTAAATGTACTGTAATAGCATTAATATAACTAACATCCAATATTCCTTCCTAAATAAGAAAAAACAAATAATTTTAAGTTAATTTTCCTTTAAAAAATAAAATATTAAAATAATTGTATTGTTCAAATTATACAGACCTGTAAAACCCAATCAACTCTCCCAGATGAATTTAAACTTTTAATTCTAACAGCTCCATTAGGATCCTCAATATTCTCGGATTTGTCCGATTTTTCTAATAAACCAGGCGAAGAATAATTTGTTGGAGGGTAATTTGTTAATGCTGATCCGCTATTATTTTCGTTATTTTCTCCTGATGTATTATTAGGCATTGAAGTTGACCTTTTAAGTAATGAATTATTAATATTACTATTACTTTGTGGTATTATAGATTGGAATCCCTTTGTAAACATCAAGGAAGTTTTAACTGATGAAAGGATATTAGTAGCTTTGCTTGCAATCTCATTTCCAAATTCTTGAAAACCAAGATGCATTCCTTTTAATCCCCCTTTATGATATGGAATGAGAGCAGGTTTTAAACTACTACCATATTGTCTGGCAATGAGCGGCTCTAAAAAAACAACCTTATTACGATTAAATCTTTTTTTAAGAAAAAAAAACACAAAATTTTTTCTTACCCAATCTATAAGCAATTGGATCTAAAAGAAACCATACGAAATTAATTATATAGTATATTTTTATAAATGACAATCAACTATTCGTTACATACCTGCATTATGAAAAATGTTATATAGATTTTTAACAGCCGGGTAACATAACGGAATAGAATTATTTAAAGGTAAATCCATGCTAATTCCCATTTCCATCGCTGCGCCTGCTAATGTCTGACTAAAATTTTGTTTCATTTGATGGTTAATTCGATCTTTTCTAGAGGCTACTTTAAGACCTTTCAATAATAAAAACAATCCTACTGGCGATCCAGCTGCAAAAAAATTCGTAACTTCAAAGTCTAGTTTTACAGTATGTTGATGAAGTTTATCCATATCAGCTGACCCTTTTTCCTCAAAAATACCAGATGGAGCTGAAGGGATGATTGGAGGTTGATGACATAAAACATCAAATGCCAATACAGAACCAAGTGAATGTCCATATAAAGAAACCTTTCCTCTATTCTCAATAAATTTAGGATTCTTTTCAATAAATAACTTGTAAACTCTATTCATTTCTTTTGTAACAGTATTTATCATCATTTCCCTATATCTTGGTGTCATGTATAATAAAACTAAAAAAAAAAAAAAAAAGTTAAAAATTTTTAATTTATATTTAAAGAGAGAAGAAAAAACACTTATTACCATCCATTAGCACATCTGAAATCAACATTCTTAAAGTTGGTACACCCTCCAAAGTAATTTCATCTAAAGTGGTTTGACCTTCTTCAACTTCCGGCATGCCCAAATCTCTTTGAACATTCTCATCTTCAGATGCCATTCCAAACTTATTTTTAATAATGAAAAAAGAAAATTTAATATCATCTTTTACATAGTATCAAATAATAAAAAAATTAAATATTATTTACCTTGATTTCTTGTCTCCATTGAATAGGTAAAACTTGTATACCGCTTCCAAATTTACGAGAGTTATGGACGTTTCTTTCGGTTTTATCTGAAGTATTAGAACCACGACGATCCAGGCTAGAATCTGATTTATTTTTCACGTTCTTATTAAGAGTTTCGGAACTATGGGACATAGAATACGTGGTTTTTATAGTCTTCCTTAGCGTATTAACATCTATATATTAAAGAAAAATGTTATGGTCTTTGATGATATTAAATACTAAAAAGGTATTATATAATATTATACCATGAACAAAATTTATATATTCCATCCTCTCGCTTAGCTTTTGGCCAATACTAAATAAATTTGAATTAATTAATTAAAATTTACCAAAAAAAAAAAAAAATATCGCATATATATACAATTATATAATTTACTAACCCATGAATAACCAAAATTAAGTGATCAACGACTCTTTCTTCACCTTCGCTATCATCATCATAATCTTCACTTTCAATAATTTCTTTGACATCTCTCAGATTAGCTTCAGAATTTGGAGCACCTCTTTGACTAGAGTAAAGATTATCAAATTCATTCTTGTATTTTATTTCTTCATCAGTAGATTTTTTTGAAGTAAGTTTTTTAACTTCGTTATAACCTCGAATGAGTTTAGTTCCTCCCAAATGAACTCCATTAGTAAGTTTGGCGAAAACAGTTTTGGTTAATTTACCAGTCATATCATCACTATATAAAAAAGTAAATTAAATAAAATCATTATTATTTTAACAAACAAAATAAATGCTTACCTTAACAACCAAGCAGTCGCAGGATTTGTATAAACAACGTATTGAGAAAGATATTTTCCAAACAACTTTTCTTGAACATGTTCAGTCTGTTCCGTTGATTCTGTTTCAGGCGGTGGAATCCAAACATCATGTTTCCTATAACATATATTAATAAATAAGCGATGAAAGAAATATATATGAGACGCAGTCTAAACCGTAAGAAATAGAGAAGTCGAGACGTGGACTCAGGTTTCAATCTCAATTAATGTAATTACTTACTTGTATCCCGCTTCTATTTGAGAAGATAGGTTTTCATTACATGGGAGAAATTTTCCGTCACTTTGATAAAACCATGTTGCACGTATAACTTCATACGTCGCGCCTGACCAATATACGGGACAAATTTCACGATTAGGTATATCCACTTCAAATAGATAATCTTCATTACATAAAACTTTTGTATCGTCTCCAGATTTAAAGGCAGCTTCAAGAGCATTAGAGTCACGTTTAGAAAAGGGTTTCCAATTAGTTGGTTGTTTAGAGGAGTAAGTCTTATTATGAGAATTGGATAAAGTTATATTGGTTAAGCTAGTTAAAGAGCTGGATGATGACGTAGTTGTAGAAGAAGATGATGTTTGAGATCTTGAAGCTTGAGATTTTGGAGATTTTTTGTTTGGATCTTTTAAGGATACATCAATGGCATGAAACCTACATAAAACAATGAATTAAGTAAAAAAAAAATCTAATTTAAAATCGTTAATTAATATGTAACGTAACACAATACCAATGTGCAATTATTTCAGGATAATTCTGTTGCGAAGACATTTTTAGTTTAAAAAAAAAAAATTTTTTTTTTTTTTTTTTTTTTTGATTTTTTCAAAGGTTATAAATTTATAGCTTTTTGTTAAAATGGCACTAGCTTATTCGGTAAATAGTTGGGTTTACCATAACGTCATAGTTACTACTTACTGTACGTCCTTGACGATCATATTTGGAAAATGAGACTAAATTTAATTACTGCGGTAAAACCTGTCATGGGAAGTTATGCGCATTATATGCATACGGTGATCAACGGGCGTAGTTACGATTAAATGTTCTCGACGTCATTATTACTTAATGAAATCCTTAAAAATTTTAAAAATTTAACATAAAACATAAATTCGTTATTTCCTTATTGACACGGATAATAAAATCTAATCATGATTGGATGAAGATAATCAGAAAAAAGATACGAGTCAATTATGAAATTATGAATTTCAGTTGGGTAAGTAATCTCGCTTAAACATTTAAAGTAAGAATTGATTTTTTTTATTAATGAAAATATATCAGAATTAATAATATTATTATTATCTATACAATCTTCTCTTTCTCTTCTTCATTTTCATTATAATCTTGATTATTAATTTGATTTTCTAACAAAATTTTTTCATTTTCAGCAAATAACTCAGCATCTTTTCTACCTTTATCTACATTTACAGTTAATATAATTAAAACAGGAATTAAAATTGAAAAAAACAAATACCAAAAAGAATTTCTAAGATCATGAGTTACATCACTAATAATACCAGTTATTAGAGGACCTAACCAACTTGAACCTTTATCAGTAATTTGATTTAAACTAAAAAATTCATTCTCATGACCTTTAGGTATCAAACTACTAAATAATACTGTACAAAAACTTTGTGTAGCACCAAGTAATCCACCATAATAAACAGCAAATAACCAAATTTCCCATGGATGTTTAAAACCAAATGGAGCAATAAATCCACATAATGCATAAGCTGGTGCTAAACAAAGTAATGAAGTTGTTATTATTACCATCTTTTTTGTACTCAAATTAAAGTATCTTTGTATCCTTAAAAAACCGTAAGCACCAAAAACAGCAGATAATGGTACAGTTATTGATACCAATAATAATTCAATTTGAGAAAGTTTTAGAACTTTCTTGGCAAATATAGTTCCCACAGTTCTAACAGTACCAAATCCATCTGATAATATAAACCAAGCAATTAAATATTTCACTATTTCTATTAATTCTCTTGCTGATTTTATAGTTCTTCCAACTCTTTTAAAAGATAATGTAAAATAACTTTGATTTCTAATAAATTTAGAGGGGTATGGGTTAATTCTCCAAGAGTGTAATTTTGAAAACTTTGGCCATAAATAAACTTACTTTGGTAAAGGGAAACCTGATCGGTTTTTCATCCATAAAACTGGAAAGGTTAAAAGTGCTATACACCAAATTCCAGATATTACACATCCAATTTTTAAGCTTAACATTTTATCTTCCATGAATATAGTAATTACAGAACAAATTGCCAAAATAAATATACCAGATGGAATACCCCAAAATAATGTCATGACAGATAATTGATTTGATATTTTTTCTTCAATATCATGAATTTCTTTTTCCGTACCACCATCTCGTTTAACTTGTAATACATCTGGATGAACATGTGCATATGATGGTATACATGCTAAAAAGAAAACTGAAGATGCACCAAAACAAACATTCCTAATAAAAAATTAATTAGTTAATTAATATGATTTAATTAAAAAAAAATTAATTAGTTGAATAACTTACGATAGTATAGCTAGTAATCCAGCTAACCAATACATGTTTGGATTAAGAACTAAAATATATCCTATGGTAAAAAAAGCTCCAGCATAAGCAAATCCTAACAACATTTTTTTTCTATTATTCCCAAAATCCGCCAATGATCCGCATCCAATATATACTAAACATTGTGCTAGAACTGATACTGCTATTATATAAAATGAGTAACTTGTTGAATCAACATACCACATTCCGAATTTTGTTACACATTTATAATCTTCTATTGTCTAAAATGTAAAGAAAGTGAGAATTATAGTCGCAACAGAAGACGCGTGAATTAATTCCATGATACGGCTTACGAACGACTTACGATATCACATGGAACATTTCTATCTTCTAATTTGAATCCTGCTTGACTTGAATAAGTTTCCAATATTACGGGAATAAAAACTAATATCAAAAAAAAAAAATGAAGAAATCCTATGGTTAATACAAATTTCCTCTCAAATATATCGTGTGTAAATATTTTAATCTCAATACCCGATAAAACTGCCACAATGTATGGCTCTGTCTATTAATAAATCATTCAGTAATTAATTGGTATTTAATTCTCTTTATATATATTAATAATAATAAAAAAATAAATAAATACCCCTGCAAAAGTTATATACCATGCTCTTAATTCTCTTGTAGTTAATTCTTCTTCTTCTTCATTAGCTGGATTGTGTGACGTCATAGTATAAAAAATTAAAAAATATAAATTTGTATTTTATTTATTTTATTTTATTTATTATTATTATTATTATTTTTTTTGAGAATGTGCCTGAAAAAGTATTTTCCTATCTTTAAATAATAAAAGTAAATAATTATATGCAAGTAAAATGCAAGCCTAATCGTTTCGCCTTTACGAGGAGCAAATTACTACATTTGTAATTCAAGTACTAATTATGGTGATTGACATTTTTTTATAATCCCAATAACCCAAATAGAGTTAATTATGAAACCTATTTATTTATTATTATTTATTAATGAGATTAATTTTAATTGACAAAAAACCAATGGATGACATTATGACAATGATGAGTTCGTACGACATATCACAAGTTTCAATGATTGTACATTTGTTTGTTTGGATTCTGACTAATAAATAAAAAAAATTATTAGAAAAAAAAGTAAATTATCTATACAAAGTACAAATAATGAAATCTTACAGCTGTTTCATTAATTGAATTCTTGACTCTTCGCTCTATTATAAGATATTAATTAATTTGTTAGTTTTAAAACTTTTCCACCTTGCAATAATATGATGATGGACTTACCATCTTTAAATTCGCATTCAATAATTCATTTTCAGTTTTCAAACAAAAATTTTGTTCTTCTAAACTTGCAATTCGTCCTTTTAGTTGGTTAATTAATAATTTTAATCTGTTATGTAAATATTCAATTTCATTTATATCAACTTGTAATTGTTGTGAATTATGAAATTCTTGAGCAAGTTTAGCTTTTAATTGAATATTCTCTTGTATTAATGATTGTTGACTTTGATCATCATTAGTATTAGTATCTAGAAGATTCTTTGTTTGATATCGATAATAATCATAAGTATTATTTGATTCTAAAAAAAATCTTGGTTGATTATTAATATAAGGAAGATTTTGATTAATGATATTAAAATTATTCAAAGAAGTTGAATTAAATTGTTGTTCTTGAATTCGATATTTTGATGTAATTGTCTGAGGGATACTATAATTTGGTAATATTGGTATTGGTTTAAATTCTGTTCCTATTTGAGATGATTTATTTTTATTTTCTCGAGTCGTCATATTTTTTTTTTTACTTGTCTTACTTGTCGCAAGGGGAAAAATAGAATTATATGGATCAAGTAGCGAGTCATAGTTTGTATATTTTTCCTATTTTGACAATCGTGAGTCATATGGATCGTATATTAAGCGGGGATCCCTGGATCCCTTTAATTATGATATGCACTGATCATCATGTCGTATTTTATTGTTACTTCGGAGTTCACAACTATTTATTATTAATATAATCGACATTATTATTGTAAATTATATTTTATTTATTTTATTTATAATTTTAATATGTCCAAACTTTAGAATATAAAGTACGTAATACTATCATGGCCTCGCGATGATATAATGGTCAAAAATATTGTTGTAACCATTTTTATAATTAATTTAATTAATTAGAAAAAAAAGTATATAAAAATTATTATTTTCTTTCCTAATAGTGAGAAAACACTTCAGATTAGTTATAGGATTTAATTAGGATTTCAAAACTGTCCGGTGAAATGGTTGTCGGTGAAACGTCTGCCGGTGAGATAATTGTCGGTGAAATAAGCCAGACCCTTAGACACAATTACGGATAATCACTTTATTCACCTTTTTCTAGATGATATAGGAAAACTTCGGTTTTCACGAATTTTTTGGAAATCGGCTATAAATAGAAAACGGCAATGACAAAAAACGTTTACCACTTTTGAGTACCATCGAACTAATTGAAAAGTTCGATATTCTACTTTACCGAGCGCACATGTAGAGAAGAATCCAAAAGTACCCAGACGTTTCATTGACAGAAATTTTGCCAAAAGTCATTTCATCGAAGTCTGCATTTCCTAAAATGGAAGAAATCCAATGACGCCATCCGCATTGCATGAGGCACTAAAGTTTCGTGGGCGCGGTTTGTGTCGATCATCACCATATAAGGAACAAGTGACATTTAAGTGTCACTGATCACGTGAAGCCACGAGTTCAAAAGCATTAAGCATCTGTGGGACTTAGTGTGTGTCAAAAATTTATTTGTCACCCCCGTGACACAAAAAACCACGCCCACAAAACTTGGGTGCTTGAATGAGATCGGCACTATCGCTATATAAACGTAGATTAACTTTTTTTAAAAAAAACAACGCGCATAATCCTATCAGTAAAATGAGAATTCGGTGAAATGGACTCAGTAAAACGTATAAATTTGAGGATTTAATTTGCTGTTCTTTATCACTAATTTCATAAGGTTGGATTATGAACTGTACAAATATGTATAATACTTATCTTTAAATATGTAATGTATATTATTTTATTTTAAAGGAAAAATATACAAGTATATATATAAATATTATTTATTGGATTGAAATTTACCTAGTCGTAAGATTTAAGCATACATAATATTCAGGCATAAATATAATTGAAATTTGTCTAGTCAGAAAATTTAAGCATACATAAGATTTAGGTATAAATATTCTAATCTAAAAATTGAAATTTTACTTAGTCATAAGATTTAAGCATATAAAATTTTTAAAAGTACATATAACAAGCGACCATAGGATTTACAGTATTTAATAATAATCAATTTAGGTATTCCAACTTGGAATACCAAAAACTATAGAGTTGACATTATTTTCCAATTCTATATTATAAACATTCATTGAAATGTCTTTTTGAATAGCTGTAGTCGCTTGTGATCGAGCCTTTTTCTTATTTATACGAAAATATTGAGACCTAATACATAAAATATTTGAATGAGTATCCCAAATAGTGGCGTGATATTTTAAAAGTAATAAAGCTTTCATTACTTTTCGGCTAGTATTTAACGTAAGGCCATTCTTTAAGAACATTTTCATGATGAGAATTTATAAATTGTTCAAATAAAAGATGTAATCAAATTAGCATATATAAAATGTTGGGTAAAGAGAATTTGGTGTTTAAAGTTTTATAAATAACGCCTATCATTTTATAAAAAAAAAATGTGTAGTAGGCTGAAAATGATCACGCAATGATCAACAATTAAAGAATTGTTCTAATGAGTTCATTCAATAGATATTCATTAGATCAATATATCAAAATGGTATTTCTATTAAACTTTAACTTCATGTAATTGTGCTACATCGAATTCAAAGTTTTCGTTAACAATATAAAGAAATACAATTGTCGCAATAGAACTAATTGTAATGAGGTATCGCTGATATTGCCTATATTCAATTTATTCAGTCATCAGTTATTTTAATACTGTAGATACGATCCTTTCTATTATTATTCGATTAATAGAATTATTTTCATAATCGAAGAATTATATTAGGAATTATAATAGATCATTTTTTCTTTTAAAGGATTTCAATGTCTTATTTTATAAAAGTAAATAAAGTTTTAACTATTCAATACCCCCTTTGATTAAATAAATTTAGGAACTGATTTAGGAACTCTCGTCGACACATCGTGAGACTCGAGCTGATTCTTCTTACTTGAATCAAGATGAAATATTTGACAAAACATCGGGCCTTAAATCCCAATTTTTAATCTCTGCCGTCAATTTTTCAAACATCGGGGCAGTCGTTTCTTTTTCATTTGTTTAAACTGGAGTCTGGCTGAAGTGACTTTTTTTTGCTAGGCCCGAAGATTCAAAAATCCTGAAACTTAATTATTCCCGACACTCATTCATTATTAAGTTTGAATTTTCGAGATTATGATTTGTCAGGATTGTGAATGTCTAGTTCCCCATTAGTTACACACAATTTCATGTGTCATTTTCAAGATCGTAGCCCCACAGAATTTAATAGACCCCTGAATACTTATGTTATCTCCGTATTCAGGGGTCCTGATTTAATAATAAGTTTACAATCACAAAAAAATCTAAAATATTTAATTAGTGCGTTCACATTGAGAATCTAAATGAATGACCCTAATAATTATTATTGATCTTTTCATATATCGTGTGAATATAACAGAATCAAGTTCATATTCCAAAATTTGGCTGTTTATTGTTCATATATAGCAAAAAAGTCTTTCATCTATCCTCTTTTTACATTAAACTCTCGCGATTTTAAATATTACGGATTACATTCATCATGAAATTTTAAATTTATAGCATATTATTACAAAGTAATATCAAAATCATTGAGATGATAAGTTGTATTCATTTGACGGTAATTTGCATTAAATTCAGTCCAATTTTTTTTTATGACTAGGGAACGGTGACCGTTGGGACCTTAATTAAACACGGATAAATTTAATTGAATCATGTCAGGGAGACTGTTTACGAACCCCAACACAATAGCTGATCTTAAACTATTTATTTATGTAATTACGTTAATAAGTCACGAGTTTCATATAGTAATAAAATATAAGCCACGAATTCGCATATTTCGCACAAATATAAAACTTTACGTTGATGAGCCACGAGTTTCACAAAAATAAAATTTCATTTGGTTTCGCACAAATATAGCATTTACGTTCGAAAAATTCAAAGTAATTAAAATTTAACGAGAGAAACTTTTACGAAAAATAGATAGTTTTTATTATGAATATAGAACAAAATTTCTTCAATGAATAAAATTTACATGCAATAAAGAAAACTATTACAATTGGTTATCTGCTAATGTTATATGTTGCTTAATAAATTACCTAACGACAATGTAAAGGATAACAATAAAGAATAACAATTTGTGTCGATTACTTAATCGAATTATTCTTGATTTAGTCATAACATCATTCATTTCCTCAATACCGCACGGATTGATTGTTCTTATATATATATATATATATATATAGCTTATAAATCAAAATTCTACAAAAATATAAAGATCGGATTTTTTTTAAAAAAAAATTAGATTTTGATTACAACGATATAAAGATCAAATATTTTAAAAAATGTCAGATTTCGATAATACGTACAAAAACGTTAGTCCAGAAACTATTCGAAAACGAAAAGCTAAAGCACAAGAGACGGCGGAACAACGGAAAGCTCGACTAAATCGAGAAAGCGAACGAAAACGTCAAAAACGTGCGCAAGAAAGTGAAAATAAACGTGAAGAACGTCTAGCAAGCCTTCGTAAAAGAAGAAACGATAAAAAAAAAATGGAAACCAACGAGGAACGTGTGCTTCGCTTGTCACAAGAAAGAAATCGTAAACGCGTGTTGCGAGCTCGTAATAAGAATCACCTACAAGATCAGCAAATAAACGAAACAAATGAGTGAAATGACAACGAACATTTTCAAAGAGAGGATGATAATCAAAACATACATATCAGGTGAAATTTTATAATTACTTCCAACTATTTTTGTTGTAAACCGGAATCTAAAGAGTAAAGACCACAATTTGTTCTTCAGTTAATATTTTGTAAATGTTAAATTGTCAATCATCTTTGTTAAATGTGTGTAGCTTACAGACTATTCGTTGTTTTTGATGATACTTTGCAATAATACAACGATAACTAATTTTATTTAAAATGAGCATAATACAAAATTTTATATTATATCCTACAGTGCTGGAGAAAAAATAGTCGGAAATATTTTAAAATTTTTTAAATTCCTAAATTCATGCATATATTCTATAAAATGAATGCATTATGGAAAAAATCTTTTTATTCTCATTAGTTCGGTACTCAAATTTTAGAGTTCCGACAACAAATTACAAAAATTATTAATTCGTGATCCACGAGTCAACTGCAAAGGATCTGCAGAAAATGGGAATCTTGCGGGCGTCAAATAAAAGTAAAAAATTATGTGAGAAATTTATTTTTAAAAAACAATTTGAGACTTTGGAATCACTTAAGGAATGAAATCGGGTATCCAGGAAAGAATACTAATGATCGACATAAATTTGCACCAAAATCATTACTAAAGCGATAATATGATATTAGGGTGAGACGTCGCCTAATTAATCAAAACTATGTCAGCAACATTGATTATATTACTATAATCAGATTTTATACTATGAAAACTATAAAATTTATTAAATAAACTTTTTTATAATAATTTATTATGAAATAAAACTCAAGACTCTAAAAGTTTCTTGCGAATATTGTGTACATTTTTCAACTTTCTTTTGATTGAAAACTGTTCTTAAGAACCATCTCAAAGTATTACGTTTTTTTATTTTACAAAGGTTTTAAAAATGATTTGATATATTTGCTTAAAAGAAAATTTGAACTAATAAAGCACCAAATCTCTAAAGTTTTATATGATAAAGAGAAATATTTGAACGTAACTTTGTTCTTAAACCATCTATAGACTTGTCATAAAAATTTGAAGGTAAACCCATGTTTTCATCATCATTTTAAAATGTGTCAATTGTAATATGATGCTATTCAGGAAAATATTGAAGGTAATGATCGTGAAAAAAAGCAAACATATTATTTGATAATTTATTTGGTCAAAAATAATTTAATTTTACGTTAAAAATGATCATTTAAAATTTGCTTAACGGACAAATTTAAAAATTTAAAAAATATTGATCCGTGTAACATGAAAAATCTGATTATAGTAAAATAATCAATGTTGCTGACATAGCTTTGATTAATTAGGCGACGTCTCACCCTAATATGATATGTTCTTGTGTGTTGATATCCAATAAAGGTGTTCATTTTTTTATTAAAGCTAAGTATCTTTTAATCTTACACTTGATACGACTAACCATTCTTTTACGGGAAATGGCTTTTATTTTGTATGTAAAAATTTTTTACATTTTACGTAATTTATTTTTCTAACCAATTTTTTTCAATGAATTTTACTTTCGCATTGTCTATTCCAACAATCATTGTATGTGCTGCATATAATTTTTAAACTAGAATTAAGTTTCTCATATAAAATTGTGAATTATATTATTAGGTGAAGAAAAGTATCTTCGTATTTAAAATTTCTTTCAATAAAAAATAGCGAAAAGGACCTTAACCGCCGTTAATTGTCTAAATTTCATATTTAATAATCGCTCTTAAATATCTGATATTATGATTCTCATGTACAATACTACTTGTTCATCTATGAAGTTATGCGTATTAAACTCAAACCCTGTAAAAAAAGTCGATCCGTTTTGAAAAGGCTCATATTTCCGGAATTAATAACCTTATAACTCGGAGTTTATCGAATTATTTACATTTTCCGTGAATGGATCCGCAAAAGGCTCATTTTTACGGAGTTTTACAGAAGTATAACGGATAAAATTTTTTTGTAGGAAAAAATACAATAGAATTGGTTAGCTGCGGTGCCTTCGTAGTACAAAAAAATCCTGAAACATAATCAATGAAGAGGACAACGAATAGAATTATCTAGTTTTATTACCGATTCCTAAATTTGGTGAATCAAATGGATAAAATCATATATAACGAACATTCGAACATATGGCTGAATAAACAAATAAATAAATCGCTTAATTTGTCAATATCATTTTTAAAATATTTTTTGGTTATATTTATACGTAACGATCGCCAATTATTTTTATTTCAAATTAATCTTTTAAACTAAGATATTTTAACTCGATTTAATAATCTCATAATGGTCTCTCCTAGTATGTTTAGTTAATTCAAATAAATTATGTCGAAGTCTCTATAATTAATAATTATCATTTTATGTTCTTTTAGACGAACTAGCAGCGCAAGCATCTTGTTATGGATTACCATACGGAATTTTCGGAATTTTTTGTTGGTGGTTCACATTTTTTAGTGCTTCTTTGGTTCATGCAAATTGTCCTATATTTGCTCCTTGGAGATGGGGTAAAAGTTATCGAGTACAAGGCCCATATCTTACGATCATGACGTCCATTCTTATACTAGGACCAGCCATCTATACATGTTTCAAATGTAAGTCGGATTGGATAATGATACTTGTAGCACTTGGCCAGCTCACACCTTGGGCCTTCAAATTAATGAATGATGGTTTCAAAGGCAGAAAAATGGATTCCGAAAAATTGAAGCTTGGTAACTCTTATAGAATTGCAGGTCTCATTTTTACCATCCCCCTTTCATCCGCGGGTTGGGTTGGAATGACAGCTCTAAGTATTTCGCTGATGAAAACAGAAAAAGCTGTTAGTATTTGGATATGGTCATTGTACGTGATAGCACTTATTGCAATGATATTAGCGTGTTGCATCAACAATACTACTTTTCGCCTTATAATGGCATACATTTTTTCATCCCTTCACATTATAGGGTCACATGTAATTTTTGCACTTATTTCTAATCATTGGAATGGATTTGCTACAACAGGCACTGGGATGGCATCATCGATCATTTTTTTTATCGGAAAGCGTCTTTTATTTATAGATACTAATAGTTAAAATTTGGATAGATTATTTTATTTTACTACTTTCTTATATAGACATAAATAAATTAATAGCTGTTTGAACTTCGATTGGTTAGCGATAAATATTTGTAAAACTGCCATTCACCGACCATAAAAAGAGCAAAACATTCTTGCTTTTTTTAATTTTTAATTTTTATGTACTGGGGGCGCTAAGATGCTGTGCAACTGCAAATTAATGGTATTATAATATTACCTTTTTTAGATGTCGATCAATTTTGCAGATGAACGAAAATTGATTTGCAAATTTTCTTATATAACTAAAAAAATATATTATTATTGTTGTTGTTGTCATTGAATTCGTTGTTATTATTATTGTCACTATTGTTATTATTGTCATCATTATTATTATTGTCATTATTATTATCGCCACCTTCATTATGACTTTCATTTTCGTCTTCGCTGTCCTCGCTGTCTTCACTAACTGGCGCCTACTGTAGGTGGAAGAAATGGCATTTCTTCTGTCAGTCTACTCTTATTATCAATGACATTATCTAAATGATGACGCATACGGATTAGACCAGTTCTGATACACTCCCCAATTTCATCCACTCTTCTTAGAATTCTCATAGCTAATCTAATTAAAAAAAAATTATTTATAAATGTTATATTGATAAAAAGAAATAACTTACATACTCTCGTAGATTTACATTTTTTTTTCATGTATTTTGATTACAGAATTCAATTTATCTAAACGTTCTGGTCTTTTCTCTGGATTTTTTTCTTTGTTAGCAGGATCTTCATCTTCTGATGACCACTCATCAGAATGAAGTTCCGAGATCACTACGACTTTTTCACAATCTTTCATTTACTCGTCCCAGGTAATTTCTTGAGGTTTTACGGTCATTTAAAACCTTGTCTTTTGTATTAATCATGTGTTGTAAACTGCATTTATGTCACGTCATTTTCTGTTAAAAAGTTAATTAATAGTTAATTAATAATGTTAATTGATTGCATAGACAATTAGAAATAATTGACAATTTTTGCATTTTATTAAATTTCGTATTTGGTCTTGCCAAAAAGTCATATGTTGACATCTACTGTGTACATCTAATTTGCCATCCTGGGTTATTTCTAGATATCTCAGTGAAACTTATGAAGCTGTTTGATTACATTAACAATCTCATATCGTATAAAATAGTAAGGATTCACGTAGATCCTGACTTCTAAAACATTACCGACGCACCGTTGCGTTCTTCAGAGTTAGGATCATTAGGTACCTACAAAAGAAAGAGACAAAAGAAATGAGAAATGCTAATAAAGTTTATTAACCTTCACTAACTCGCCTCTCCTTAATTCCTACCTTCCATTTAGCTCGATCCCAGGTTTTGAAGTCCAATATCCAAGGTGTCCGGTAGGTACCTAAGAAATTAAAAGAACATTAGTAAAATTGCACTAATGTTCCTTAAATCCGCTCTACACGCTCAATTCTCACCTAATTGTAAAATTTTGGCTTCAAAAGTGGCATTCTTATTCTGATTCTATTCTTCCAATGACTACTGACAGCTCACAAGTGAAGATGGCCTAAAGGTACTTTGCTTGGCATTATTAAACTGATCTACAGGTATATCAACAACCTTCTCAGGAGAAATATCTTGGATTAGCTATTTGTTCTCCACTACTTCAGTCTTTAGCTCAGCAAATTCAACATCACGTCTAACATTCTCAGCTGAAGAATCTGCCTTGTTTTTTTCTAACTCCTCAATTCTGGCCTTAAGTTCAACATTCTCAACATTACGTCTCTTACTCTCTTCCACAGCCTGTCTTAAAAGCTCAGCAATCCTGGTCTTAAGCTCAACTTTCTCGGACTCAATCTCAGCAAACTTCCTTTTAAGATCAGGGATCTCAGCATTCTTATCCTTAAGCTCAGCATTCTCCTTTTAAGTTCAGAAATCTCAGCATTCTCCTTCCTAAACTCGGCAATCTCAGCTAAGAGCTTGACATTTAATTCTCTCAATGAATCAATGGATTGCATGTTCGATAATAATTTTTTTATAAAAGATGGAATAATTCAAAAGCTCGTTAGCATAGTAATATCTTCATCGGAATTACTGATTTAATGTGATTTATTGATGTAAAAAATAAATTACAAGATTTGCATAAACTTGTTTATAAAGTGAAATAAAGTTTTTATGCTAATGCCTGCGGGTGTTTCTTTCGTCTAAGCTATCTATACTAAAACAATATCCTAGCATTAACTTTCATTTGTTTTAATCATCGATAGAAATAAATAAAAAATTGTCAGTTATATAAGACAAGCGATGCAAGCAATGCTAGAAATAAAGTAGCATGTAAAGCCTCGCTAAGAATTTATTTTGTTAGCACTTCCGTGATGCTAATAAGGTCCTCAGAATCTCACTGTACGAAAAGAAATAAGGCATTAGTTGGCAGACTTCAAAATCATTTTCTTGTGAATGTTCCGAAAAAAATATATTTCATTCATACCTGAACCTGAATTAGTATCCGATCAAAATCTCGACAGTCACTTGCACGACTAACACAAGATCGACAACAAAATCTCAACAATCCACAATCCAAACCCCTGACCAAGTCATTATGTTGACAATTTTGTGATGTGTGTTCTAAATAAAATAATTTGTTGCAATATTTGATATTTAATTTAAATGTGTTATAATTTTGTCAGGATTTTGACTTGTCAAGATATTGGATTGTCAAGATTTTGTTGTCGGTCTTGTGTCAGTCGCTCAAATGATTTTTGAGATTTCGTACCAAAACCACCTGAATCACGTATGTCTCGCCGGAGCTTCAATAATTCTTTCATCAACGCTTCTTTCAAACTGCCATTAGTTTTTTAAACACGGAGGAAATAATAATACGGCTTGGGTAGTCTGAGTAAAAAAGTTGATATAGAGTAAATTGTTCTGTAACACATACAGCTAAATAAGTTAAATAACAGAAATTGTTTGCTTTGATAAAAATTTTTTTCGTGTCAATATGATTGCACATTAAAAAAGATTTAATTATATTATAATTAGAATTACAAATAAAGAAAATACATCATATTTTAAAAACTACTTATCAAGAATAAAAAAAATAGAATAAATTTAATTTAAATATATTATATTATATGCTATTTTGTAGTTAATATTACTAAAAAAAATAAAAACAACGTAATATTAATGTCTACTATGTAGTGAAATATGAAGTTAGAAATAGAATATAAACTCGGCAATAGATAAAACTAGTATGTAGATAAGTTGGCACCTGAACAGCCAAAAATATCATGCAAATTACCATCTTCACCGAGGTTTTTCCCAACAGTAACAATAATAGCATAGAATAAAGGTAATTTATCTGGTGTTGAAACATTATCTACATCTATAGAAAATTTGGTTCCAGCTTTAAATGATTCAGTGAAATTCTTATTGTAGGGGGGTATTGCGGAAAGAAATTTCGAAGTATCATAAAAATCGATGTTTAGCAAAGTTTTATCTGCGGTAATATCATGCTTTAATGTTCCTGAAACAATAAAATGTTCAGGGTTTTGGCAACTGGAGGGTCAGGCGTAATTGTTATATCGACTCCGGGCCTTGGTTGGACTATTGTATAACATTGGTAAAATTCACTTTTATTAAATGGAATAGCATTGACTATAGAAAGTGTAGTCAATAAAATAAATACAAAAATAAAATTTCGGATCATGATTTTTTTGAGACTTGGAAACAAGAAATTTTAGATTTAATTTTAGCCAAAATTCGCCAAGATTTAGAAAAATGTGGAGTATACTTGCCACCCATATTAAATGGGATGGGAGAATCCCCTATCCCATCCCATCCCATATCCCATCCCTTTTGCCAAAATCCCCTCCCATTTGCCAAAATCCCATCCCAATCCCAAATCCCAATCCCACCCATATCCCATATCCCTTATCCCTGTCTCTTATACAATCCCCTCCCATTTGCCAAAATCCCATCCCAATCCCAAATCCCAATCCCACCCATATCCCATATCCCTTATCCCATCCCTTATCCCAAATAATCTCATTGGTCAATTACT